TGCCAGCTGCCATGTACAGACTGTTGACTGCGCAAGAGCAACCAGTTTACATCTAAAGCCGACACCTCACCATCACAATGTGCATGGAAGATGTTTTTCCCCATTAGTGCTTGTCTCTAGTGCTGCATTTGTGTGTCTGCAGAGACATTTCTTTCTCTCTCCCCCCTTCACAGACACAAATACACTGTCACTCTCTCCTCTATCCTTTTTTCCTCTTCTCCCCACCACTTTCCTGTATTTTGGGAAGGGGCAAAATACATCTATGGAACAATTTTGGTTGCATCTTTTTACAAATGAAACTTCATGTAGCTCCACATGCAAAACAGGAAAATAACAGCTGCATTGTCCGTGGAGTATTCACAAATGGCTCTGTTTCATGCTAACATGATTTTGTGGCTATAATTTTACAAACTGAGTAACAGATAAAAGTATAGGGTACAAAGCATTCTCTTGGACATCCTGCATGTGACTTTGCTTTTCTTGTCCTATTTTCCCACAGGCACTGAGCTCAGTACTAAAGGTTTATGTCTGTAGGGAAAGTGGAATACCAAAAGTATAGTTTTGCGCTCAGGAAGAATTGCCTGCTTATGAAGACTCAGTAAATGCTGCTGTCATAAAATGAATTGTCCTAATACACACCTTTCAATTCCCCTCTGTAATCAATTCTTCATGATAGTAGGACCCAAAAAAGTACTCTGTGAATTGCTGAAACATGTTATACTTGTATTACTTACACTAAGAAATTTGGGAGGCATTTTTTACAGCAGTCTCCCGCTCTCTGCCCCCAGATTTCTAACTCCCTGTTTTCTTCGGCTTTGTTTTTAAATGCAACATGTCTTTTATAGTCCCTGCCCATTTTAGAGGTTAAAGTGGAGGGGAGGATCATTAAATATCCACAAGAAAAATAGTAAGGGGATTTCCTGAATAGCTACACTTTTTCTAGGCTCTTAATTCTGAATTTGGTGCACATAGCCACGTGTGCCACTGTATATAGACATTTTTAAAATTGTGCTTGCTATTTATGAAGTTTGAATATAAGAGATCTGCAGACTATTCTAAGTAATTTTGTTCTCTGAGCCAGTTTTAACAAATATTTTTGTCCAAAGACTGTCTGATTTTATTGACTTCCTCTTTAGTTCAAGATACAGATAACAGTGAAGAGGATGAGGTGGGAATAAACTTATTTATTTTGGTATATAATTTAACTTGTGATTTTTTTCCATATGTATGGCACTTAAAGGAGATATGTGTGTACTATATGCACTTGTATGAAGATGATAAACTGTAGAGATGTATGAAATCTAATATTTGATTGGCCTCTAAGTTGCATGCTAGAGACAAAAGGGGAAAAGGGCTGGGTTGGGTTCTTTGTTTTTTTAAGATGGGGAAAAATAAAAATGAAGTAGTGGCTTTTTTTTCCTAGCGAGAGGAGAATTCTACATTCTCTGTAGTTACCTTTTTTCAGGACTATATACTGGTGTTTATACTGAAGCCTAACCATGCATTTAGTCCAGGTTAGTATGTTGATTTCTTTTAAAGAAACAGTTTGTGCTGTGTTTTACTGTGATAGAAAGGCTCAGTGAGATGAAAACAAGGGCAGGCAACACATAGCCACACCCCACTTCTACTTTGCACTGGTGGTGCTGGTCATAGTCCCTTGTTTCTCAGTTATTGTGAGGTGAGCTGTGCAATATGAGTGTTGTTTGCAGTCCAGTGATGATCCTAGACATGACTATGCAGATTCACAGAAGTGGATGTGTGCGTGTGCACATTTGGTGCAAACAATGCCAAGAGCCAGTGAGCAGTCTTGCCAGAGGTCCATTTTTTGTTTTTCTCAAATCATGGATAACCATGGGCTGATCAGAGTTAGAGGATAAACATAGTATTTCAGTGGGAAGCAGATGTCTAAGGGAGGTAAAGAAGAGGCGCATAAACTACTGTAGTAAGTGAATATGTTTTTCTGTTGAGATTAATGTATGATGACTTGCTTTTACTGCATTTCTTGTTGTTACATAATTTAATCCAAGGCTCCAGAATATCAGATTGCGCAAAAGAATGTTGTTAGTGTTCCAGTTAGTACTTAACTCTGCTACCTGACTGATGCAACAAGATAATTAATGACTTGTGAGTATATTGTTTAACTGTAAACATCTGGCTTATGATCATTTGAACTTTCTTTCCAGAACTTTCCATATATATAGTAATACATGTAAATATGATATATAACCATGTATGACTTAGAAGATTATATACAGTGCAGCCTTTCCATAAGTTGCCTAGGAAACTTAGTGAGCTCTTGAAGAGACAGCCATCATGATTCTGGTTCCTGCTGTGTTTATGCCCTCCACTTCACTTGTTTCTGTGGTTCTGTCTAGCTCATGTGGTGAAGACTTTAACTCACTTCACTGGAAACGATGAAGACCTGAACGTGCAAATGTATTTAGAGATAAAACAACTGTTTCTTTGAAAATCTTGCAGCCAGAAGTCTGTGAAGTTAACTGGCATTTGAGTGCTTGAACAGTTCATGCTAAATAGGTGCTTAACATTAAGCAAGTGAATGCTTGCAGGATCAGAGTTTAGCAAAAAAATCTGTTTTTCTAATTAATTGTGTGTGTAAGATTTCTAAACTGGAAGGTCCATAGAATGTGCACACGTCTGAGAACAGTCCTGTAAACAATCCCATTTTACTCCGTAAACAGAAAGAGTTTCAAGAAAATGGAGCTCTAAGGGGAAATCTGGCTGTTCTCTAGACTGGTGCAGCGGTTTGATAGATTAGATTATGGGGATTTTTAACAGATTCAAAGGAACATTCCTTCAAAGGTTTACATTCCTTCTTCAGTGAAAGACCTGAATTCTCTTTCTTTTATCCTTGCTGCTTCATACAGTCTAATTAACTCTTCAGTGTTTACATTAAGGATGAAACATCCCTTATATTTTTTATTTTTGACAAGTATCACGTGTTTGTGTTGAATCTTGTTTGAATTTGACTCTCAGTTGGGATTTCCAAGTTTGCTAGCTTTCCTTGTTTTCTAAATGAAATGTACTTCTGAAGACAGCAATGTGGTTGAGATCTCTTGTATATATTTCACGCAGTACCTAGACTATGAAGTTGTACTATTGTTCTGTAAAGAGGGTGAATAGAAATTATTGTAAAGCGTTGGGAAAAGCATAGTATTGTATTTGTAACAATATTGTTCTTTGTAAACATTTAATGATCTCTCTATATAAATATAAATATATATATAAATATATGTGAGCCTGGAATGTTGATACTGCACATCTACTGAATGTAATTACTCTGATGTTTTCTGCCACAGGTCTCTGACCTCTGTAATGAAGCTGTGGTGGTTTGATTTGGGGGAGGCAGGAGTGAAAAGAGTGGGCTTTTTGCTTTGGATGGGACAGAATGGGGGGTTTCTGGCCAGTTATTTTGTTGTGATGTATTTACTGTGCTACATTCCTTTATTTAACAGAGCGCTAATGTCTGTAAGATTTGCAACAATAAACGACAAAACAAAAATACCTTAGACAAGGCTGAGAATTTGCTCATACTGACCTAGGGGCCTGCTTGCCAATGCTGAATGCATACATGACTGGAAGGTGTCTGAACTTCTCTTCTGCCACTTAGTCTGGAGTAGTTCTGTATATGTGTGAACCACTGCTGTTAACTTTTAACTTTAAAACAGCATTCTTTCCAGGTAATACATGACACTGATGCTCCTAAATGAAGCCAATTCCTAAGCTAACATGGCATCCCCGTTTTTACTGTGTGAAATGTCACTGTATTTGCATCTTTAAAAAATATGTTTTTTTCAAGATGCCTTTTATGTGACAGAAATACTGTTTCATTGACTGAATAACTTTAAATACAGTTTTTTTCATAAATGGAGCTTTGATAAAAATTCTTCATACTTAGTGTCTTCTGAAACCACTGTTTTTCTTCAGATGTCATCAGCCTGGTTTATTATGAAAGACCTAATACCATTTGAATAAATAAAAAGTAGAATTGTAATATGTCTGTCCTTAGATTTAATCCTGGAACGGCCTCTGCTAAGGTTAAAAATATTTGTATAATATGGGATTGATTATGAAAAACATGATGGTATTTGAAAATCAACTGAAAAAAGTCACTAAAGAAGCATTTTGTCTGGTGAGGCCTCATAAGATTTTCTGTGACTTGTAGGTTTGTCAGGGGTACTTTGAAACTACAGAAATGAAAATACACACCACAGCTGATTCAGAAGACAACTACACATGGGCCTTCAGCTCCTCAGTGACTTTTCATAATATGAAATACAAATATTGTCAGCATCAGAGACTGAAGTATTTCACCTCATTTGCTTAAGTGATAGATTGGAGAAATTGTGAGGTCTCTGATAAAGGATGCAGCGGACAGGCTGAGCTTGCTTTCTGTGTTTCCCTGAGTGCCACCCTCCATCCTTCTGTTTATTACCATTCTTGTTAGAGGTTTACATACCAATTTCTGTATTACAAACTTTTCTGCATTTCAGTAGATAAACAGCTGAAGTCTTTACTTCAGCAGTACAGGTACAAATTTCACATATTTGCCTTATTCACAGGGGACATTTTCTTGCTCTCCCCTTCAGTGTTTTACTGATCCACACAGTGCACAAGCAGGCCCTACCCCAGTTCCAGCACCCTGTAATGCCTTGCAGGCTGAAGAGGTGATGCTGGTGCCCTGTGGGGACCGACAGTGTTTGAGAACAGGGCTGGGACTGCAAATTAAATAAATGTTCAGTTCAGAAGCATATGGCAGTAATCCTGACCTGAAGAACACAGTACATGGAAGGGTTGGTGATCCATGTGTCCATTAACCTGAGTACGGCTAGGCCTGTGCTGTGCTGCTCTGTGCGGCTTCTACAGCTGGACCTTCAGGGATATTCCTTTGCCACAGGATAAATTTAGCTGGTTGATTGTAAGAAAGGAGCCTGAAAGCAGCTCCAGTGGTACTCAAAATGGCAAATAACTCAGTATTATTATTTAACATTTATATGAACGTCCTTCAGTTTGACAGTAGAAATTATGAATGGAATTGTTTTCTTCTAGAAAAACCTTGAAATACCTCAAATGATTAAAATGGGGTAAAATGGATGGGATCTTTACAACTTGTTGCTCCCTGTTTGATGCTACACAATTTGGGATTCCCAGCAGCTGAAGGGATATAAAATTATCTATACTACATTCTTTCTTCTACCATCTTCTCTAATAAACAGCATCTTAAATGAGACTATACAGAGAGCGCCTTTCTTACTGGGATGGTAACAACCCAGCACCTTGTGTTGAAAAACACCTGTGCTTTAGGGGTTTGGGTTTGGTTTTTGTTGTGTCAGTAAGACAAGAATAATATTCTGCAATTAAGTGAGAAGTTCACTGAGCCAAAAGAGCACTTCTTTATATTTTCAGTTTGCAAACCAACACCATCTTTTATAAAGAATAATTTTAAAATTCTGAACACAACTTTTTTTACTAACTTACTTAGTATCTTGAAGTCTCCTTTTGTGACTGGAGTTTTTAATACAAACAGAAGTACTGATAATAAGCAAAGTTCTTTGATACTGTGTTTGACAGCTCCTTCCACAAGAATGATGTATACCCCAAAACTGCATGTTACCGAACTTCAAAGAGATGCAACAGGACAGCAACATATCACACTATGCAACTGAGAGTCTAGTAAAGGTCAGCTTGCAATCTGCTTAATACGCTTTGTCTGTGGATCAGAGTATTTAAAAAGTAAGGTAAGATTATTGACACACTTTTCCACCCCTTGTCAGACATGAGTTTCCTGTGCAGTACATATATGTCTGTCACAGTCTGATAAGACTGGAATGTTTATTAAAGAGGATGAGTTATGAGATAGACCAAAACTTTTCTCTCTCAGCAATTGTAAATTCAAAATTAAGGGGCTTTAATCGAGGAATTGTGGAAAAAAAACAGAAGAAATAACAACCCCTTATTAAAAGATATATGTATGTTGGCAAAAACAGTAACAGAACACAAAAAAACTAGACAGTAATCCTAGGAAAAAAAAAACAACAAAAAAAAAAGTCTGGATGAATACTTCTCTGTCCTTTAGCGCAGTCCTAATAGGGGACCCCTGGTGGCCTAGTGGTTAGCGTGCAGGACTCTCACCTCTGCGACCCAGGTTCGAATCCAGCCAGTCCCCCGGGCAGATGGAGTCCGTTAGGCCTGTGAGGCCATCCATCTATGAGAAGGTCACTCTAAACAAACCTACGTCCTGAGGACCTCACTGCCATTGTCCAAGCTTGCTTGGCCCCGGCAGATGAACCTTAGGATTAAAGGGTGGGCTCAGTTCAGCGCAGGCTGTGTCTCACCTAAAAAATCCATTGCGCAGGCTGGAAAGGTAAAAGACCTTTCCCAAAATCTTCGTTCGCGAAGACTGGCCATTATTATTAATCGTGGCCTGCAGGGGGCGCTGTTGGGCTCTGGCGGTCACCACACGTGAGGGGGTCTGGGGGGTGGTCTCGGATCGCGGGAGAAGCCGAAAGGAAAAAACAACGGAGACTCTTCCCCCCAGTGGGAGAAAGGCAGAAGGAAAAGCAGTTCACTCCTACAGGACTCACTGTTGTTCCCAAATGACGGTGTTCCAAGGCTCTCCCCTTCTCTCCCAGCAAGCACAGACCTCTCCGATGAAAAACCCAGTAGGTCCCGGCTGGAGTCATGAGGCAGTGTGCGGGCCGACCGAGTCCAGTGGTCCGGCCTCCCAAGGACGAAAAAGCCAGAAAAGACAGACTTCCAGGCCTTCTCTCCAAATGCCTGCATGCAGATCCCCGTCTCCATCCCTGAGAGCGAACTTCGCTGTCCGCTCCTCTCCCCTCCGAGCCGAGCAAACCCACCCTCTCCCAAAACTCCTCCCCTCTCCCCCCAGCCTCTGAATGGGCCATCAGCGAGGAATGCAGCCTGGCTAGCTAGTTCCTTTGTAAGGCTAATTAACTCCCTTCCCCCTTTCCATTCAAAACTCCATCTTTGCTACAGTGGGGGGGGCAGGGGGAAGAAAAATTCTCCTTAAATTTCTAGCCTATAACAATGTCTGACAGAAGTGCTCTGCTCAGGAATAACCAAAAACCAGTTTTAAACAGTACTTTAAGTACAGTTTCCCAGACAACACTAATAAGACTCTGAGGCCATTCATGTTCTGCTCCTTAGATCCTCCTCTCTGCTAGCTGATCTTCATCTGTGGTGAAAATAGTCAGGTCCTCACAGCTCTCCAGGACACCAGCTGAAAGGTAACACATGGACTCTCAATGACATGGCCTCCTGGGCAGGTGCCATCACCTTTAAAAGGAAAAAAAAAGCTAAATCAGTTTTGGTTTCAGGTTCTTGTTCCATTATAATAGTTTCTTACCCAACTAGGAAGAAGCTAGTTGTAGCTATCTGTTTAAAGAATAATTTAAAAAGCTGTAAAACCCCAGGTATTTGCCAAGGAGGCATGGCAAAAGCAATCCCAATTTGGAAAAGTAGTGGGGTAATTTTTTACGTTGTTGTTTGTGGGTTTTTTGTTTGGTTGGTTTGATTTCTGTTTTCCCCCTTAAAGGTGCACAGGAATTACCTCACCCCAACCTATGGCATATCCCATGTTGGTTAAAAGGAATCTGAATGTTGCTTCCTGCAGAAGCCATTGAACTGTAATAACCTTCAGGCCAGTGTGATAAATTAAGTTCTCATAAGGAATTTTTTTCCCTAGCTGTTTCTGTCAAATTTTTTGAGGCTTTTGTTGCCTGAAGGCTGCAGTCAGAAATCTCACTTTTTCTGCAGAGCCTAAATGACACTCTGATGTGTTTTGCATGAGAATCAAAATCAAAACTAGTCAGCAAATCACCAGTACCATGCATGAATCAATTCATCTATCCAAATGGTCTGAAAGCTACCCAAACATACATTTGATGAAGTCTGAAATGTCTGAAACTTCTGAATATTCATTCCAATAATGTAAGCACATGTTTTCTATTTTCTGCTTTTCTTTCTTTAGCACAAGATCTTATTTTTATCTTAGGAGCCAATCACAAAGAAGTTGCTTCCAGTGGGTTTACATAAAAATTTCCTTGTCAGCCTCCATTCCTTCCTGTTTGTAATAGCAAATGCTTATTTATAACATCTCCTCCCTGTCCCCTTCCACACTCAGCATAAAACACTGTCACATTATTCACAGTTCATGATTCCACCACAGAAGACCAACTTGTTTAATTTTTGAATACACAGATGTTCAGTCTTCTGATAACCCTCCTCTCTGTGTGGTTGATAGAGATAGAGACCTTGCAGCTGCGCAGCCTTTTGCATAGTCCCTACATGAAACTAAAGTACTGAAGGAAGCTAATTTAGTGCAAAAACTTTGACATGCAGAGTGGTGAACATAAGCATATACTTACAAACAAAGGCTGCGGGTTTCCACATCGCCTGATAAATACAAGTAATAAAACTACCTGCTCAAGTAAAGTGGCATTGGTGATAGCTTCTGACATATGTTTCGCATCTGATTTTAAAACACATTTGGTATTTTCCACCAACTCCTGTATGTCAGGGCTCATGCTGCAGGAGGACTGCTCTACGATCCATGCTACAACCTATTTAATGTCTGTGTAAGACTTATAGTCTATCAGATATTGGGGTCTTCCCCTCAAAGCTCTTGCTCTTGAACTCTTCTGCTAGATGACAGCATGGAGTTGTTTTACATTGCTGTGTGTTGCAGTTTCGCACTTAAGCACTGTCCCTGAAGACAAAGATGAAGCAAAGAAAACACTCCACGTGGTTCATGGTATCCCCTGTGATTTCACTCCTGATTCAGCAGTGAGGATGCAGTGCACAGTTTAACTACATAAAAGACTCATTCTATTGGATTTACACTAGACAAAATGCCTGTAAAATAGAATCGTCCATAGCTATGATTGAGTGCCTATCACATCAAGGGGTCTGGAGGGACCCTTTCCTCCTTGGGAAAGCTATTTGCCCTTTTGTGTATATTGGTTCTTTTCTCTTTTGTTTCTGATCTGAAGAGACCCGAAATGGTCCTTGAGTGTTAATGTTAACATACAGTCATACAAAACAGGTTAAGCAAAGCTAGAAGTCTTTTATGATCTCTCTTCAACTCTTTGTAACTTTTAGTTATTACCAGTGAAAAGGACTAGTTACAAAATATCTGAAAATAACTTCTTGTCAAGCTGGTAGCTAGTAATACTACTACAAAGTGGAAATTCAATGGGAAGAAAACACACTCAAACATTCAAAATTACCTTACAAGGACTAAAACAGGGGCAAGAAGGAATCAATTTCACTGCCTTCAGTCCAAATAAAAATTCACTGCCTTTTTTATGAACAATGATAATCAGATTTGGACCCTATTAAAAAAAATATAAATAAGAGCGCCTGCAGGTTGTTCAAGAAGGACTTTAACATCAGCTTTATACCAAACACAATGCCAGAAGGAGATGCAAAAATTCCTAGCAAGAAGGCACTAACTTGAAGCAATATCCATTGTTCCATTGCAGTGAGTTTCCTTTCTGCAGCACTCATGACTAACTTTCAGGTCTGGGTCTAAAGCTTCCAAATGCTTCTGACATGGAGTCTCTCTACAGCAGAAACACTCTGCTCTCACAGCTATGAATAGGCTCTGTGTCATGTAACTATTTCTTCAGCAGCAGATTCTGTGGGGTACTGTGATAGAAGTTGATAGGAGGAAAAGGGAAAACACATGAAGCAGCAGAGGCATGAAAACATTCCTCAAAACATCAAGTGTAATCCAGATAGACATGCTCCCAATATACAAAATAAATGGCTCTTACTAAAATGTGCCATTTGCATTTACATTTTGAGTGCTAATATGTATCAGCAGCTACTATGGAGATTCCAATATCCTCTAGTAAAAATTGCAAGACTCTTGACTAGTGCAGTTTTTAGGACTGTCAGCAGAATCGAGGATTCTGTAGTCACACTAGCAGTTTCCCCATAGCAACTGAATTGGATCACTGACATCAAAGTAGCTTCATCTGCTCTCCACCATGGGTTGTGTTGAGTTTTGGGGTTTTTTTGTTTTTTGATGCTATAAGGATCAAGAAAAGGGGAGTAAATTTATAGGCTAGCACCAAAAACGCAAGCTGATTGTGCTTTAAATTGCTCATATTGACAACTGCCCTTGTGAGATTTTAGATGCCAGTGCACTGAGAAATCCTGTGTGCCCCCCTCCTCATCTTCTACCATCTCTCCTTCCTACCCAGACTAGCAATGCCTGCTACAAACCCGGGTTCTAGGTGTGAAAGCCAAAAGAGCAGCAAGGCTAATGGATTGGGTGGAGGTTTGGCAAAGCACACACACACTGCTGTAAGGTAAGGTACTCTGTTCAGAGACACTAGCTGATTTCTGCAGGTATGAAGTTCAAAGTACAACCTTCTAAAAAATGTTCTTTTAAGGAACCATTACATAACCATAGATAGAGAAAATCAAGTCACCTTGAGGCGAGTGGCAGTGCAGAAGCACAGAGTCACTTTTAGATTGTTTCTACAAGGAACTGAGGGCTCTCCTGTTCACTTCTGCAGGCTTGCAGCTTGCATTTGAAGGAGAAAGGCTTGCTCTGCTGGAAGCCTCGCAGATTTCTTCAGCTGAGTAATCAGGAACAGTAAAGGAAAAGTAGTCAGAATAAAGCAAGTCTGTAGAAACCATTAATAGAGATTGTTGCTGATTTTTCCCCCCATGGACACAAAAGCCTAGAAGCGCATATAATGTGTGCACAGACTCACAGTTACTCAACAGTATCAGTGGACTAAAGCCTCTTTAAACATTTGCAGAAACCTGTTCAGTCTTGCGCAACTGGAGCAACAAAAGACTACAGTGTTGCCTAGTACAAAAATCACCTTAAACTATCCGATCACAGAGAAGGGAGCTACAGTTTTCTGGGAGAGAAAGCTGAATCTCACAAAGCCCAAAATCATCCTGCAGATAAGCAGTTGTACCAAGTTATGACAGTGTATGGCCAGAGAGGTCAGTCACCTTTTGCAATGAGGTAGCTTGTAAAAACCCAGTCCCTATACAAGAATTAAAAATCTTGTTTCATGAGCTTCTTTATTAAAAGAAAGATTTTCCTGAATTCTTGTGATATGTTTCATCCTTCCAACTAATCAACAATCCTCCTTTTCCTTAGGGTGAAGTTATATGCTGCAATTCCAATAACTGCCATTTAGTGAACAGGACAGGATGAAGCTATGCCTATTTCTCACTAAGCCTGGTTCTGTACCTCTATCTGATGGCACCGGGCATATTACAGAAAACAATATTCTTGCTCACGCAAGAGTTAAAAAAAATGTGGTGGGTTGACCCTGGCTGGATGCCAGGTACCCAGCAAAGCCACTTTATTCCTCCCCTCCACAACCACACAGGGGAGAAAAAAATATGATAAAAGGCTCATGACTTGAAATATGGACAGGGAGAGATCACTCATCAATTACCATCACAGGGAAAACAGACTCAGCCTGGGGGAGTCGAATTTATTATCAATCAAAGTAAAAGCAGGATAATAAGAAGTAAAACAAATCTTAAAAACACCTTCCACCCACCCCTCCTTCCTTCCCAGCCTCTATCTCCTCCCCTCTAGCGGTGAAGGGACTGGGGATTATGACAGATTGATGAACCAACTTTATGATTTTATGATAATTCTTCATAATATTAATGTTTCAGACGTCAGAGCGATAACTGGCTTAAGGCGATGTGTACTGGAAATGCATATACCTAGTATGTGATGATACAGAGCAGCTACCAAGCACCTCCTGCCACCACTGGAAGGTTGCATGCCTTCCTACTACAGTCATCAGGGAAAGTCCCATTCTGCTTGACAGGAGTGCTTTTGAAGTTAGTAAAACCATTTTAGCTGGCATAGAGAAGCTTAGAGCTCCTCCTGCAGCCAGCAGTGAGGATTCCCCTAGTTCTGCTGGCAGAGAGCAGTGCATAGCTTTAACTTCCATCGAGAGTAAAATTAGTTGATCAGCCCTAATGACGCCAAGGGAATCATGGCATCATACACAAATGCCCTGCATAACAGACTGCCAACATAAACTAGAAGTTCAGGTTTTATTTATAGACTGTTAGAGTGCATCAGCTGAGACAGCCCATAGACTTACTCTGCCACAATTCCAACATATGCCCCCATTTTGTATTTCACTCCTGTTGTGGTTTAACCCCAGCAGGTGGCTCAGTCCCCCACAGTCAGTCAGTCAGTCAGTCACTCACTCACTCACTCTCCCCCAGCAAAATGGGGAGGAGAACTGGAAGGGCAGAAGTGGCAGAACTTCTGGGCTGAGATAAGGACAGATGAGACGAGGTGAGGAGAGGGGGAAATAAAAAAACCAACAAACTCAAAGAAAAACAAGTGATGAAAAAGCAATTTCTCATCAACAGATAACTGTTGCCCATCCAGTTCCTGAAAAATGGCAACCCCAGAAAACTCCCCCCAGGTCTTTGTTGTTGAGTATGATGATATAGGACATGAGACATGCCTTTGGTCAGAGTCATAAGTCCCAGCTGTGTCCCCTCCCCAGCTTACATGCTGCAGGGAGAACAGCAGAGTAAGATGGAGCAAGCCTCAATGCTGCTCAAGAACTACTAAACAGGAGCTAAAACATTTGTGTGTTATGAACACTGCTTTGGTCACAAATCCAAAACAGCACCATGGTCTGCTTTGAAGAAAATTAACTCCAGCCAGCCAGATGTGCTACACCTCCCTAAATATAAACAAAGGAAGAGATACTGCTCAGCTACTTCTTTTTCTTGAATTCATTGCCCCTGGGAAGCCTTGGCATCTAGAAGAAGCAGTGTTAATTTTCTTTGTTAAGATGCTCACTTTCTTTTTTATTTGAATTTAACAGCCAGGCTGATATTTAAATGTCTCCCTACAGACCTCTTTATTAAACGATAATATTGGACAAACCAGTTAATGTGATGAAGTGGAGGGTACACTTTGTAATATGTTCTCAGGTAGAGACCTACCTTTGCTTCTTGCAATGGAAGTTTTCCAATAAAAATGCCTCTAACACTGCCTCATTATAGCCTTTTTAAAAACGAAACAAACTTTCTTGACTGTCCTTCACAGCAGTTGCATTTTCTATAGTATTCTTTTCCTGTTTCCCCTCCTCATAACTTTAAGAAGTCACCATGTAGCCTTGTGTTTGTTATCCTATTTTTGTTTGTGCTCAAAGAGCTCCAAGAAAGCAACAGGAGTTTTGTCAGTAAGCAGGCCTTGAGAATGAAACTTTTTGCTACAGCTCTTCTGGATTTCTTTCTGGTTATCACAGCTGACAAGACACCAGAAGCATCCAAGTGCTTGTCTTCAGAGGTTTCAGGTAGACTGTCAGTTTAAGGGAATTTTGACAGAGTTGACATTTGGTTAAAGTATGACTTTCTTTTTCTACTTCTTTTTTTTTCCCTCGACACCACTTAATAGGAACAATTTCAACTGATGCACTTCAAATCAAAGGTTTTTTTACAGTTTGAGAAGTAGGTTGGCAGAAGACAGCCCACAGTCAAATGAAAGATCTGGGGCTTCTCTGCGGCCCCAGTGTCTTTACTCTTTTGTGGTGTGAATATTGTGCAGACAGGCAAAGAGCCACCTGTTGCACAAATGACAATCTTGCCATAATGGTAAGTTCAAACGAAAATTGGAACAGATTTTCAGAGGCTGTACTGAAAAAGCTGCCTTTGACTTACCTGGAAGCCAATAATACTTAGCCACAAGCATACACTGCAACAAAGATTAGGCTACAAATTAATTGGAAGCATTGGCATGGTTTTCTAAACAGTACTGAGCAAAGCTTGATGAGGTCTCTAAGAGCAATCTAAATATGTACAGTACCAGTATGCAGAAACAATTCAGTAATTCTTCCAGTTCAGGTTCTATAATAGAGTAGTTCCTAATTTAGATCCACAGAGTACAGCATTATTCTATCCTTTTCCTATTGTCATCAGCAACAACACATCAACAGGCCCCATCACATATACTAAACAAAAGGAAGGACTGGAGCTGGACATCATTTGTTGCAACATGTGGATGTAGTGTCAACAGCTAACTTGTAGGTTACTAAAAAGGAAATGCATCTTTCTTTTTATATCTTAAGTGCAAACAACTTTTTATGCATTTTAAATGTTAGTCCTTGTTCCCACTGTCCAAAACAATAATGATTCTGTGTCTTTGGCTTACAGTATGGTTATCTTTCAAAAAACTAATAGTGTTGCTGCTACATTAAGTTATCTGTGTTGGGTAGAACAGCTCTAGAATAAATTTTAAAATGTACTTTTTACCTTGAGAGTCCTGCCCTTCACTCACTTCTGCCTAATCAACACAGTTCATGACATTTATTTGTAGTGCACCTCCCTGGAATAAAATACAAAAGTTGAAAAATTACAAGTCACCACCTTTCTCTGGCATTTTCTAAGAACTGCAACATCCATCTTAGAAAGGCAACACTTTTGCTTAACTGCACAGTGACTATGTGATATGTGTTTAATTCCACTGCAAAATCAAGGCTAGTAAATGTCTAATATTAATGCTCACCATCCTGGTCAGCCAATTTTGTCCTATTGAGTATTTCTCGGGAAAAGCACCTGTGTTCTGAAAACACCAGTGAAAAGAGATCACCAGTCATGGCAAAACGGTAAAACCCTGATCTAGTCCCTCATGCCACTAGTGCAGGTCCATGAGGGAAATAAATCAAGGAGGTCTAGAATAACCAGCAACAGGTGTGCTCCATGGTGCTTTTTGCTCCTTCTCCCATGCCTGGGCAGAGCTTTCCAACCAGGGAAAACTTTTCAACTCTAGAGGTAAGTGATTAATTAAAATCTTTGGCGAAATTTACAGCAAGCCACATCTGTGATCAAATATGTCCTCCTGCCTCATATTTACCACACCTCAGGGCAACCTTACCCTTACCGCAGAAGGAACAAGTCACACTTCAAGCTCCTGTGGCCCTTACCTGCTCAGACGTGTTAGAGCTCTGCACATCTTCATAAGGAGGAGGTGGTTCCAGACAGAAGAACACTTCAGCATCATTGATTCGCATTGCATAAGCATGGGGCAATGAAAGCCCAAGTGTCCTGCAACAAACAGCACAGAGTAAATCTGTCAGTATGGCTTTCCAGCTGCAGAAAAATGTCATCTGCTATCAAACTCCATTGGCTTTCCTGTACAAGCTCAGATTTTGGGATCTCAGGCACAGCTAATGGACTCGCCAAGAGCTGCAAGACATTTTCTGAGGACGGCAGGAAGTTGCTCCTTAGGAGGTGCCTCTCTAGTGTGTTCCCCAGAGCTTCAAACCTCTTTGGGCTGTACTGCAGCTAGGAACACATTTCGGTTTTACTTCAGGGATTCAGTTTTGTTTCAAAATATTCAAATACAAGTTGTACACTCAAAATGTGACAGCCCAGCTCTGAGTTGTGTGAACTACTGAATTCTTAATTATAACAGAAATTCAAGATACTTCTTGTCATAGGTTTGGAAAGAGATGTTGTAATTTCTTCGCCAGTGTTGTTCCCCTCCCCCCCCATCTGTTTCTTCCAGGATGGGGGGAGTCCGGAGGGGGAGACGGAGCGGAGCGGCACGCGCTGGGCAGCGCGGGAGCCGGGAGGGGCGGGGAGGAGGTTCCCTCTAAAGAGCGGGCCAGGGCCACGCCTTGGAAGCCCTTTGTCGGGAGGATTTCGTTTTTCCACCGATGGACAGAGGGGGAGCTGCTTTCGTTTTTTTTCGGCTGCCTCCTCTTTTTTTTTCCTGAGGGGAAAGTTTTGGGTTTTTTTTCCCTGACAGATACCGCGTGGGGAGCAACTGAGAGAGAGACCGACCCACCTCGGAGCGAGGCAGTCTGCCCTTCGGGGCGTGAGACTGAGTCATCAGAGCAGCCTGACCTGTGACTGTGTCTGTGAGAAGGGGGACCCATTGCTGGTCGCTCACGGGTCTGCGAGCAGCTGCTGAGCTGCTGAGGACAATTTGCCCTCGGCCCCCTGGTTGCAGCGGGTTTCTCCCCCCCCCAACCTGGGGAATTGGGACTTTGTTTTGTTTCTTTTGAAAGTTTTGGTTGCACCATTTGTTGTTTTTTCGGGGTTGTTAATAAAATAAATGGGGGTTTTTTTGTTTCCTTTTCCACACTTTGCGCTTGAAGCCTCCTAATTTAAAAGTTATAACCTTGTTAAAACTTAGACACTTCTGATCTTGTGTTTTATGTTCAGCTGCACATAAAAAGCCAAATTCAAACTAAAGGCTGTTTTTTTGATAATGCTTGATTAAGAATATGACAGTTAATCAATTCACAATGAGGCAAATGCACCTCATAGCTAACCTTACTCTTCACTTTTCAAAGAGCTCTCTGAAAGCTTAAACGCAGCAGAAATCCCAAAGACCTTTTGCTGCATGATCTTTCTCTTAGGAGGCATCTCTGAGAGGAAGAAAGCAGAACAGTGCCTGGAGAAAGCTTTTTTTTTTTGGCAAATGCCAATTTTGATAACACACATTTACATTACCCCATTAACACTAAAAAAGTGTGGTGGTTGACAGCAGAATCGCCAAGGAAACCTTTCCCACACAATCTTCAGAGAAGTCTGTAGCCCAAAACATCTCAATTCTTCTCTGCTTATTTTTCACATTTTGACATGCTGATATAGTACTGAGCAGTAACCTCAAGCAACACACAGAAATCAACGTTTTGCTCTCTGGACCCAGATCAGGCTTACAGCCATCAGCAGTGAATGCAACTTTCTACAAAGCAATGCAAGACACAAAAGCAAGTCCTTCATCCCAGAATTTAGGGATTCTCTGGACACTGGCTGAAGGGAACAAAGATGACTGTGAAAATTATTTTCTTGCAAGCTGAGAGGAATGATGATGCCCTTGGAAGACTGCTTGCACAGACAGGAAAAAAATAAAACTTCCAAAATGAGAACCTGGGAGTCCTTTCATGAAAGACTCCTGTCAGGGCAATGGAGGTAATGCATGGAGAAATCCGACGAAAAGAAAGTAGCTATTTTGATAGCTAGTCATTGCTTTTTTAGTCTTAAAAATGGGGAAAATACAACATACTTCTTGTCATAGGTTTGGAAAGAGATGTTGGAATTTCTTCCCCAGTGTTGCTCCCCTCATCCCCCCGGGGGGATCCATCAGGATCCAAAATGTCATCTTGGTCTTCAATCTGAAGTTCACCCTAGTCAAACAAAACTTTTGTTAAAACCCATCTGAGCTACAGAAACTGCTGAACTGGGTAACCTAGTAATACTGTTAGCACCACTGTTTACAGCCTGGTGCTCACTTACTAGGCAGGATCTTCTTAATTCAAATATCTGCCAGTAATGCAGGGCAACTGCTGTCAAACAAACTGTAGTGGTGAGAGCATTCAGGGCACAAAGACCTATGAGAACTTTCTGAAGAACATGAAGATGTGTGAAATTAAAAAAATTAAATCAAGGTATTTGTAGATGCTAAAATAATAATAATAATAGTAATAATAATAATAATAAATTAAATTAAAAAAACCACAGAAGACACAGGGTTGACTATAGCAATTACTTCTAAGAAACATATGTGATGAAGTCTTTAGCACAATCTCTAAGACTGGAGTAACGTGCAAAAACTTGCTTTGCCCTATTGATTGTCCTGACAGAGATTCAGAGGGGCTTAATACAGTTCAAATGTGATTTATAATCCATTGATTCATCAAAGAATTATAACCTTTCTCTTAACTTCTGGGGGAAATTCAGATTCAAGACAATCACTGTTAAAGAAATGTTAAAGCTCTTTTTATATTTGAAGATTATGCTGATCAGGAGTTTTATTTCAGCAGTTTGTAAGCCAAGAAAGGTTGAGAAGTTAAAAAGACTGGTTAGGGCATCAAATCATCAGCTAAAATTTACATCGTATTTGCCCATATAGTCTTGTCTGGATTCCACTGTAGTTTTGGTTGAATAAAACACTTGGTTGCATAAAACTGCTTATTGGATCAGCAATGCACTCATCAAAACCCAGAGATAAAAAAAAAGCCAACAGAACCATGAAGAGCTTCTGACTGGTGTGGAAGACTAGAAAAATAACAATTTTTCACAGTAAACACAGCAGCTACTTCAGCACTGCACTGTTGCACAAGCATGGACATTATAAAAGCAGTCATATGAACCAGTGTGTGCAAGGTACCTTGAGAAGAAAGTGAGCAGTACTGCATGACTTCACATAGTATAGCTTCAGTACAGTCTCTACTTCTGTGCATTTAGTGAGATTAATTTCTTCACAGCAGAAACAAGTCTTGCTTTCCTTATCCATCTTAAAGAAACAAAACTCCAGTTTTTAATTTTAACTGCTTTATGCAACAGTTTTACCTGTATAATATAGAACCTATATTTTAAACTAAACCTGTGACCACAAAGAAGACTGGAAACACAGGATTATAGAATTGAATCTGAACAGTTTGGTATGCCAATGATTCATGCATTATAAGCACTTCTTATCTGAAAATTAGCATTATGGATAAGCTTAAGACATTTAAATACAACTTAATTGTAATCAAAGCTGCACTGATTACTAAGCAATTTTATTATCTATGCTCCTTCAAATGCATAGTTGCCTAGAAATTACTTCTTTGACTGATGTGTAAACCACTCTATGAAGTGTACACATTTTCTTTGATTCATGAGTGTATCTTGCATTTCTAAGGATGAAATTAAACACACAACTATAACTGCAACCTGGTCAAGTCATTAATAGTCACATCTGTACACTAGTTGTTGTTTGTAACTTTCAATATTGTCATCTTAGTTTTCAAGGTAGAAACTTGATGTTTTCATACCTAGAGATAATTGGGTTTTTAGCTGTCAAACTTGATAGTCATGTCAACACTCTTCCACCAATAGAAGCCACTCTACAGAGTAATTAATGATTGCAAGAATGCCTTTTGGCTGTACTCTATGCTTCCAATCGCAGATGGCTCAGAAATTCCTGAAACATTAAACCATCTCATCTGGTATAACATTATCAATTCTCAGTGCTGCTTTAATACAGTGATACTGGATGAATCTAGATTACGAACTGCTTCTGGTCTTGGACTCTCACTGAAATACAACTATTGGCATGTCAAGAAATCAACAATAGCCTTCTTGAAGTAATAAAAGAATGGAAATAGATATTTAAAGATCTTTCAATTAATTCTTAAAGCCCTTCAAGCTTTTACACACGATCATCTTCATTACCAAGTGATCCCACATTGTATCCCTCAATTTCAATTATTTCACAGTTTTTGGTTCATAAATAGTTATTCTTGTACTTCTTACGACAACAATTTCAGAAAAATCTTTTGCATTCTGCCCTGTCTTGCACAGATTGCTTCTTTATCACATAGAAGTGTTCTGAAAAGCTAGTATGATTTGGTTTATGTTATTTTTTCCTCACAGTTCCTGCTGTAAGGTATCAACACAAATGGTCCTCACCAGGTGAGGCAAAACAGGAAAAATAATCCCACCCACAGATTATAATGACTAAGCTTTTTGTAGGTAGCTCACCACTCCCCACTCAGGCTGTTTTCTATGCTTTATATTTGTCACATTACTAAAAAAATCCTTTATGCTTGAATCTTCTTAAATTACTTGCAGCTCTACATTAGCACATTTTGTGATTTCAGCACAACAAGCTAATGTACCATAATGAGAAGAAATAGGTATAAATCAGTATGTGTGCTCACCAAGTTGCATCTGGGTACTCTGGACACAAACTCAATGTCTTGACATCCTAATATAAGTCCAGCCAAGCTCAGCAGAACACAGGTGATAAATAGCAGAATAAACAGTTTATTCTGGAGCAGCAAAACAAAGTTAACTGCAGTGGGAACAGGAACCCAACTCAAGGAACCTATGACAGTGCAAATCCCACTCACAAACTGAAGCTGGGAAAAACACTGCTCCTTTTTCAAAACTTCCCATTACTTCAGTGCCCCAAGGTGTCTACTCCCAACACCTTTGTTCTTTCTCTCTCTCTCTCCTTATTCTGCACTAGTTATGCAGAAGTAAAATACATGCAACTATTGAAAATGTCAGCAGTAACAGCATAGGCAACTACAAGTTTTTCTGGAGTGCAAAGTATGATTTGCAAGCCCTCTGACTTCCACTGTGTGGTCATACTCTTCCACCATGTTTAGGTCTCAACACATTCAGACCAGTAAAGAAACCTGAAGAGGAGGAAACACATTAAGCCAACATTCACTCTGCACTGAATTTCCAGAATTATTTTGCAGCAAAAATAAAAGAAAAATATCTGCCCCAGTATAGTGAAGACAGAGACACTTAAGAGATTTTAGTAATATGATTTTATTTCCTCCTGGATACTAAAATCAGAACATTCATAACTCAGATAATACCTTCAGATTTATAGACCATCTGAAAAATTAGCAATGGCAAGCATAATAGAGTAGTTGATAAAGGACAAGTAGAAGTAGCAGATAAAATGATGTCTCGCTTTCACCTATGCCCTTACAATCTGCACTTACCTGACTTGGGATATGGATTTTGAACACATATAAGAACTTTCCATGTTCCAGTTCATACAGCAAGATTTTTCTGTACTTTGGGAGAAAGTACTACGGGTAAGACTACTACTTAAGAGACAAATAAAAATTAGGTTCGTCCTTTAAGCATTCAGCCTTACAAAGCAAGTATCAGATCCTTGTTTTCCTAAAGAATCCTTGTTAATAACAACCTGTTCAGTCAGATTTCTTTGTAACAAAATGGTCCAAATTCAAAAAGCAGGACATGACAAAAAAAAAAGAGGAAGAGAAGGAAATCATGAGGGACATGGGTTCAGTTTTTCTCCAGGCAGCTTTAGAGCAGATCCAGCAACAAGGAATTATTAAACATGCATGAAGAACACAACAGCTTTCCCAATTAATTTAACTGACATAACATGGCTAGCTACCTGAAATCTGAACAAAAAAAAAAAAATCAGAGTTGTTGCACAAATATGTTCCCATTTTCTGAGGTTCAGGGAAATATAATCACCCATGAGTGGACCAGAGCCAAAGAGCTCTGTGAAAGCTCTTTACTGTGAAAGCTCATTCCTTAAATTATAATATCTCATTACTAGTAGGCTTTACAGAAGTTTGACATTATCCCATAAGGTAGGTTTTAACCTCAAAACCCCCAATAATTGAAGTAGCTATTAGTACTCCTCTGAAGAGGACTGGGACTATTTTGTGTTTGGCATACTAAGGACAAAATAAATATTAAGAGGAAGAGTATTTTCCCCTAGTTTTCTACTAATCATGAAAACACAGATAAGAGGATTTTAGTTCTAGTAAGCACTCTGAGTGACATTTGTTTTTCTGTACAAACACAGACTCTAATGATTTTTTAAAAAATTAACTCCTTGCTTACCACTCAAATGAATCAATACCATTTCTTATGCTTTTATCTAGATTATCTCAGTTATCCTTTTGATAAAAACTACTTTGAGAAAATTGTTTGACACAGGCATTTCATATAAAGAAGTACATTTAACACAGGGCATTGACAACTAGGAATTAGCCATTTTTTAAAGTGAAATAGAACCTGTTTCAACATAAAACATCTTTGAAGTAAAAATCTCATGACATGCTATTAAGAAAAAGAAGAGGTATATTTGTCTTCTTTCAAATGATGAGGAAATGGAGCAAAGAAGTTATGTGGCCAAAGTAAAGAAAGATTCAGGAAAAAAAGTAAGCAAATTCACATTTAAGGTTTCTCCTTTGGTACAGAAGCTGCAATAGAAACAATTCCATGTACAGCTATATAAAAAGTTACAATCAAGACTCCTAATTCAAAATTTTGAATAAAAATTATGGAGATTTTTCTAAAGAAACCTGGTAAAAGTCAAAGAACAACAAGGAAGAGAAGGAACATTATTACAGATATGCAAAACAAGGATGACAATTTCTACGTTTATGTTCTAATAAATACTACCATACATAAGTGTAATCTTGATCTGTTTTTTATTACATGTATAGTCTATTTTTGACGCATAATCCAATATTCAGACAATCCTGACAAAGAAGCAGAAGATAAGAAAATTCCTCGACATACAATCTAAAACACTACCATGATCTTAACCATAACCGTAACATTCACTACGACATATCTAACATTGGACAAGACATTACATGGTACTTGAATGTCAAGAGAAAAAATCCTTTTTCTTTCTGCTCCATCGCTGGTCAGCATTTTCACTGAATCACCGAGATTGGAAGGGACCTCTTGAGACTGTCTAGTGCAATCTCCTGCTCAAGCAGGTTCATGGTGTCCCTGCTCGTGGCAGGGGCCTTGGAACTCAGTGGTCTCCATCAGGCTGCCAAAGACAACGTCCAGTGGGTTTTGATTGTCTCAACAGACAGATACTTCACAACCTCTCTGGGTAACCTACACCAGTTTTTGACCACCATAACAGTAAAAAAGTAATCTTTTTTGTTTCAATGGAATTCCCTATTTTTTTCAGTTCTGCCCATAGCCTCTTGTCCTGTCAGTGAGCACTGGTAAGAATGGTCTTGCTCTCTATTCTTCATTCCCTCCCATCAGCTATTTACACAGATGCAGAAGATCCCCCCAGAAGCCCTCTCTTCTCCAGGCTGTACACCCCCAGCTCTCACACCTCTCCGGGTATGGGAAGATCATGTCCCTTCACCTGCTGGCAAATCTCTGCCTAATCCAGTCCAAGACACAGTTAGTCTTCTTTGCCACAAGAGCACTTTGCTGTCTCATGGAGAGCTTGTTGTCCACCAGCATCCCCAGGTTTTTCTCTGCAGAGCTGCTTTCCAGCAAGGTGTTCCCCAGTGTGTACTGGGGTCACTTCCCTGCACAGGCAGGACTTTGCATTCCCCCTTGTTGAACTTCAGGAGATTTCTCTCAGTCCATTTCTCCAGCCTGTCCAGGTCCTTCCAAATGGCAACTTTTAGTATATCAGCCTTTCCTCACAGTTTTGCATCACCTGTGAACTTGCTGAGAGTGCACTCTGTCCTACTGTAGAGACCACTCACTTAAATAGTACTGGCCCCAGTTTCCACCCCTTGGACTCAACTCTGCTGACTGGCCTCTAGCTGGCTTGGCTTTGTGCCACTGATCACAACTCTGGGCCCAGTCACTCAGTTTTCAATCCACCTCACTGTTCAATCTAACATGTATTCTGTTAGGTTATTTTATCAGTTATATTCTCCTGCAGGTGCAAGTTTAAACTTCTTCTCCATCACTACTCACCTATAAATAAAAACAGGTATTCCACTTTATCCTAGTGACAGAAGATCCCACCCAGAGGAGAGAAGTACTTCTCAACTTGGAAAAAACAGACAAAGGCAAACGTATTTTAAAAGTCACAACAGAGGTAACTGGTCTTAATTGCAGATAAAAATGGAAACTACTCAAATTGAGGCTTTAGTTTGGCTCACAGTCTTCATCTTCTGAGCATTAGATATACAAGGACTGTGAACAGCTGCAGAAACTTGTGAGGAACATTTATATGAAGTAAAGTATAGGAAAGCAAAGTGTATTCTAATGTTAGACACAGTATTTGCTATTGTCTTGAATGGATTATCTCTTCCAGCTAAAAATGTCATCATGCACTTTGAGGATTCCAAGGAAGCATAAATTTGCATAATAAAGCCCTGACACTATTTTTCATTCTTCATAGGGACACTGCTTGTTGTCCTGCTGCTGCTGCCATTGAAGGGAATACCTAATGCCAGAGAGGAATTGCTTTCACTTTAATATGCACACACAGGACTGATGCCTAACCAGACACTGCAACGAAAGAAAAACTTTTGTTCCACAATCACCAACTCTTATATCCATTTACAGCCTACATATATACTTCATAAACATCCTATAGGAAAAGGCAAGTTAATTTATTAATTGCACATATGCACAGCAATGATAGCAATAATTAAAATTTTTGAGACTTTACTAAAGTTCTGTCAGTTGTGAGAGCATGGAGACTCATAACACAACTGTCAACAAAAAAAAAAGAGCCACACAAGTAAGAGTCAAATTAATTCATTTAATAAAAAAATCACAGATTTCAAATAAAGCACTAAAACACCCTGTATATACATACGAGAGAAAAGCTTTTGCAGCATAAAATGGCTAAAAGCCTCTAGTGGCTTTTCATAGTCTCACACTTAAAAGCATTATTTCTTTTTATTTGCTTGTACTGACTGTAAAACCCTTGTATAATTACCACTTACTGACCTAATGCTGGAGTTCTGAACATGAGCGAAGATGTTAACATTGAGCTATTTTACTTCTAAAATCAAGAAAAAAAAGCTACTACTACAGTAATTGTCACCAAAGTACAATGACTTTGCTTATCATAAAGCACATGAATAGGCAGAGATTGTTTTTCAGGGATAGGGGCATGATATGCAGCTTCTGTTTACAGTGCCTTATGCTGTCACTAGCAGGGCTAAAATTTAAAAACATCATCAGAACTAAGCATCTTGGTCTAAACTTTAAATTTTGTTAAATTTATGCAAATCAGTCAAAGTGCAGATATCATAGCAGTAGTCAGCCCTAAAAAATCTTTATTTTAAGGCTGCTGGGATGTATTTTGTTACTGATAAAAGTTTTCAATTACATACAAGGTTTACTACAAATAAATTCTTCAGAAATTTTCAAGGTTATAAATAAATGCTTGAATTCCATAAACTTTTCTGTTTTCAAAGGAAGAGTTGTAAATTTCTGTCATAAACCAAAAATACTAACATTTTTGAACTATAAAAAAAATCTTTCTAATAAAAATTTCAAATCCTTGTTACCATACTGTAAAACACGAAAATAATCCAGATTGAATGACACATGCTGAAC